AGACTGGCAGAGTGAGAGGAATCAAAAAAGGTAGAATTAATTGAACAAAACTTGTGGTGTTCAGTTGGGCTGATCGTAGTAGGCCACTAATTAATGTACACTTTTTTATATCCAGGTTTGCCAACTTGTATTATATTGATAATGGCAGGCTATAAGTGCAAATCAACTCTTCAAAGTTAATGTGATCTCTTTCCAAGCTGTTCTTGGATTTTTAGCTTTCCCCGCCTCCTCCCCCCCCCCCTTTTTTTTTTAACACCTACAGGTTGCACTTGAGGCAGCATTTGGATGTCAGCCTAAAAATAAAAACTGTTTCCCTATGTTTTCCTAATCAAACAGACTTCTAGAGTTGAGCACAAGATTCCTTGCATAATATAAAATGCAAATATAATAAGTAAGCACTTCTGATGTTCATTTTTATCCTTGACATGGACAACTAATATATTGCTTATTGATGATCACCCTTTATTTTCAGACTTGTCTTCTCCCTACCCTCTCTACTCTTCTCTGCCCCAACCCCAAATAATGAGGTGGTTGAGGGGATTATAGCCCCCCCCTTTTTTTTCTGGGAGGGTTGTTGCTAACCTTAGCCTATTTGGGTTCAAACAGTGGTATAAATAAAATCTGACCATTCAGGGGGTAGCCAGGTTAGCCTGTACAGGAAAAAACAACACTTTATCGACTAACAAAACATGTAGATGGTATCATGAGCTTTCGTGGGCACAGCCTACTTCTTCAGATGCCTGCAAAAGCTCATGATACTATCTACATGTTTTGTTAGTCAAGAACGTGCTACCAGACCATTTGTTGTTAAAATCAGACCATTCACATAAATGTCTTAGCTTCTGTGCTTGTGTATTTAAGTTAATTTATCTCACTCTTACCTCACGAAAATGCCTTTTCAATTAAAAAAAAAAAAAAAAAAAAAAAAAGATATGTTGTGGCTTCCTACGTTGGGCCTAAGAGGGACTTTTATTCTAGATAGTGAGTGTTGGTTGGTTTTGGGTGGTTTTTGCTTTGCTGTTTTTATAACATTGTGTTCAAAGACAGGAATTTAATTCTGTGATGGGGAATGTGACTTCATATGTGAGAATTGCTAGATGCAAAGGTGAGCATAGTAGCAGTGAATTCCAAGTTGGGGCCTCCCCTTAATATATTACAATATCAGTATTACTACTCTTCTTCTCAAAAAGGAGACATTCTGTTTGTTCTCCCACCCTCTGAGAAACCAAAGTGTTTGAGGCTGAAAGGATAGGGCAAGAAGTAATGTCAAGTGAAGAGCTTTAGAGTACTTGTTCATTTCCAATGTTCTGTTTGCTTTAATCTAAATACTCCTTTCAGGATGCTGCTGCTCTCTGAGGCATCTTAAAACATAGCGTCTAAGAATCTGTCTCTTCCTTCCTGTTGGGATTGTAATTCTTCAGATTTGAGATGTGTTTGTGTACTTTTAAGGTCTGGAATGGGAAACTGTTACTTGTGCAGACTTCCACCCACACACTATCAGCTCATATTTAAGGAGGAAATAGGCAGTCCAAAATAACTATTTCTTTTTACGTTCCTTGACATTGTCATAAAAAGGAACAGATATTGTAATGTAATGCAACTGACAGTAATGTAACTTCAATAGTTTACCAAGATGAGGCATAGCACTAAAACATTTTGCCTATTTCAGAATTTTATTTTTTGTTTTCCCTTGCACCCTACTTTTGTGCTCACAATACAAGTCAGCAATGTTTTTGTTGTTACTTCCTTGTAAGAAAGTACTAATATATTTGCTCTTTTTCTAAGGAGTCAAGTTTTTTTGGTTCCATTTCAGTAACTTCATAAAATATAACATGCCATTCTTTATATTCCCTTCGTTGCTTGACTCTGGAAAAGCATTTCTGAAAACTAATTACATAAATAAACTCTGAAGTTCTTGAAATGGAATGTGCTTGAAGTTTAAGGGCAGGAATTACAGCATTGCTTCTGTCTTCCTTTTTTGGCCCTAAAAGGAATAACTGGAATTAATGGAATAGCTTATAACAAGATTAAAACAAACATTTCTGTTTAGTTGTCTTTTAGTAGTAAGCCATGCTAGATTGTCAAAGCTCTGCTTTTCGTGTCATTACAGTTAAAATTGTCAGTACTTCCATTATATCCATTTTCTGTAATATGCCTTATAACTTTGATTGTAAAATTGTGTTCTTGCTGAAACACTCCCAATCTCATCATCTAAGTTTAACTCTTTTTTTTTTCTTCAGTTCAGTAAGTTTTCTGCATTCCTCAGAGTGAAACAGTTTCCCCCCCACACCCCCCGTAGTAATGCCACAAGGGGTCTTATTTAAAACAAAAAAACAAAATCCTTGCAAGCTCAGCACCGCAACCTAAGAGTCCTTAGAAATTTATTTAGGATAACTTTTCCTAGGTATTTTGACAGTTTATGAATTAAACTTCTATGTTTTCAGCCCACCTAAATATCCTTTCATTTGCAGATGGAAAATCTATCATGCAGGTGTCCGGCTTGCCAACCTAACTCTCTTATTTTCTTAATATGTCTTGGGTTATATTTACTAACCCTAAATAACTTAAGACTGTTAGACCCAAATGCTTTGACCACTTCAGATGTTGTTGTGATAGTGGGATTGAAGACTCACCCTTTGTAAGTGGGTGAAGTTGGTTAAAGGAAAACAAAGTTGACTGCAGCCTGAGAGAGGAAGCCCCAATATACTTGGAGTGGAGAACTGTTACGAAAGTCAGATTCTTCCTCCACATAACTGAATATCAGTGACATTGTATCATATTGGAAAGGCTAGTTCCTGGATACTAGTTTTCCAAGATTATAAATTAAGGCTGCTTTTGCATTCTTGAACTTTAGCTATAAGCATTTTTAAAAAAAGGCAGAGATGCATGCTAAAGACACTAGAGCACCACCTTTATGTTGAAGTCAGTAATATTTGCAATATCTACTGAAGAGATCCCCAAACATTTTGCTGAGCTCTTCCATTCAGAGTCATGTCCCATGCATGGGGCAGAACTGCCCAGTAACAATGTTCCCTCTGCTTTAATCTAAATCTTTGAGCAAAATAAAAGATGCGCACCAAGGCATGTACAGATGTGCACCACCAGAATAAATACATGTGGCTGGGTGTGGGCACTCTGCTAATCAGCTGGGTGGCCCTTACAAGAAGCACTGCTGAGCACTGGGGATGTTAGCATATAGTCAAGTAAATGATTAACTGATAAGCCTAGGCTTATTGGTTAATCCTATACAGTACATGCACCATCCCTTGCTGCCTCTGTATCAGAGCTGGCTTTAAGCAGGCTCCCCATGAGGCATCAGCGTGGAGGGTCGGGGGCCAGGCAGGAGCCAATATGCATGGGGAGCTGACTTTCAAGCCAGCTTCCTGCAGACCCACTTGCCCCTCCTTGCTGCCTCCTACAGATGCAGCAAAAGGGTGCAGGCAGGAGCCAGTTCTGGTGTGTGTGGGGAGGGGGGAAGAGGTGGCTTAAAAGCAGTTCCTGGCTGCACCAGCTCCATGGTGCCACCTGCCCCACCTCCTCTCCCCTTTCCTCCCTCCCCCAAATGCGGGCCTCTGTCTGCAGGGATCCAAGTTCCCCACGAACTGAGGCTGTTGCACATCCCATGGCAGCAGCCCCTGTCCAAGGGGGGGGTCCCAAACTCCCCAAGGACAGAGCCTTCTCCATGGGATGTGGAGCATCCTCTGTCCTTGGGGAACTCAGGCTGCGCCTGGATCCAGCCTCAGAGGCTCAGGAATCCCTTTCCCCCACCCCCCTCAGCACTGGGGATTCTGCACTGGTGCTCCAGCCCCCCTGCTGCCCCACTGCAGGGCTGGAGCACCCAAAATCTAGTAGCTTGCTTCCCCCCTCCCCTCAGGCTCTGGTGCGCGAGGAGAATGTGAGGAGTGTGTCCTTCTCAGTCAGGGTCCATGTCGGTGAGCATTTGATGGTGTGTAGTGGTGTGTGGGTTGGGGGGGAGGTGGTTTTGTTTTTTTTGGTTTTTTACTTTTCTCATGTGTATGTGTGGCATCCGACTGATTTGTCTGGGGGTCAATGTCCCCCAATCAAAAATGGTTCCCTACCCTGTCCTATGGTTCAGCCTTTGACTTGCAGCTCTCAAGAGTCCCCACTGGCCTTTCCAACAGAGGAGGGTTACTGTTGGTATGTGACTGCAGCAGTGAGGGAGTGAGACTATCAGGGAGCATTGCCTGGTCAGCCAAGACTGTTCAGACAGAGCAACCTTCAGACTCTCAGCCCTTTAGTATCAGAGAGGTAGCTGTGATAGTCTGCATGTGCAAAATCGACGAGGAGTCCTGTGGCATCTTATAAACTAACAGATTGCCCATCACACGGAATTAAATTCCATTCCCAAAGTCTTCATAACTCTGAGGTTCTATTGTATGTAGTGCATGGAATTAAAATGCTCTGGGGACGTAAGTACTACTTTTCAGATTGAAAGGATTTGTCTAATCAATGTGTCAAATCTTGCTTCTTAATAAAATGAACCTGTCTTCTTCACCTCTTGTTAGCTCTTAAGGCTATTCATACTGTGCCTATTTTCATTAGCATGTAGCAAAAAGCTGAGAGCTGAGGCCATGGAGA